ATGTGTATATATATGTGTATGTGTATGTATATATATGTATATATGTATATGTGTATATGTATGTATTTATATATATATATATATATATATATACACCTTGCTACGTGTACTGCGTTAGGCTAACCGAGACTTGTCTTGTTGCTCTTTTGTTAGTTTTGACTGCTTTTATTGTCCTCATTTGTAAGTCGCTTTGGATAAAAGCCTTCTGCTAAATGACTAAATAAATAAAATAAATAAATAAATAAAGTTATTATTTACTAAAAACAATGTTCAAACCATATCAGTAAACAATTTTCTCTGGTTCCCAAAAACCATGGGACAGCCCCCTAAATGGCTGAATCTCTTGGCAGTGCAAACACACTGTGATGATTTAAAAAAGGACCTGCATGATTCAGCCATGGTTCAGTTGATGGCAAGGAAATTTCCATGAATGTGTAATTTCACCTGAAAATGTAAACTGCAGAATTATGGGCTTTCTGTTAACATCTGTCTGTGGCTGACTCTGACAGGGTCGAGTGCCATTCGGGACTGAATTGAGAGTGAATGCAGAAAGAATGCAAAATTTCCGTTTTAGTTAAAATTCAAGGAAGTAGACCAATGGAAACTTAGGAAATGATATCATAAAGATATCATAATGATATCAAACAAAAATAGGAAATGATATCATAAAGAGGACCCCTGCAGACTGTGAAGGTCAGTCAGGTCAATCAGATAATTTTTCCTTTCTATGACATGGCAAGTCCAGGTAGTTTGAACTAAACTTTTCTTGAAAACAGTGAAGAGAAAATACAAAAAACATGAATACTCTATCCATTATTCTCTCTATTTATGTCATCTTCACCACTGCTCTCATTTATTTACATGTGGGCTAATAATGAAACCTAATAATTTGATTATAATCTTCACACCTTCTCTCTTTGAGTGACAATCACATTCTTGCATTGTCCATACCACGGTTTATTAAGCCACTTGGCTCAGGTGTTCCTTTTTTTTTTTTTGCCTTGTTTCTTTGTTCTGTTTTGTATGATTGAGAATTACAGTTTTATTGCCGTCATAAAGAGCTCACCTTGTGACAAGCCAGCTTAGATTCAGAGATTGTTCTTGAGCATGTATGTACAGGTCGTGTCTGCGTGTCTGTCTGGATAGTAAACCAGTTTAGAAACTGACGGTCTCCAATTCAAGCCGCTGATCTGGGTCGCTCTACAGCAATACGCAGCATTGTCTGAAGAAAAATAGGAGAGATCTCTGATTATTGTCTAACACATCACACCTGCTCTCTTTGGTTACTTTTTTGTTGTGTATGATTCAGAATTGCTATTATTGAATTATCTACATCCGCTACATCCTCTTTGATGGTTCCCCTGGGGGTCTAGAAATTCAGTCTAGAAGTTCTCACAGGGCATGGGGTTGCTCATAATGTATTTCACTCAGGCTCCTCTTGACAGTCCAGAAACGGGATAATCTGGGGAAACCAGGGGCCAGTTGTTCAAAAGGTTTAATCTGGATCAGAATGATCTGGATTTGGAAATCTCATGTTTTGCTGTCCAGGATCAGGTAACCCATCTTACTTTTGTGCCGGTTTTTCAAAGCAAAATTGGATTGGATCACCCTGATCCAGATACGCACTTTTTCAGATTTCCAAATCTGGATTACTAGTGCTCTACGGAGCCCCTATGGGACATTGTGATGGGGAAAAAAATGAAATGGGAGGTGGGGGGATGCCAATGTTTTGCATTGCATTTACTCAAATAACTACTTCTGACTGGTCCATCTCTGATGATTGTGCCAATTACAATTAGTGATTAAAAAAAAACTTTAAATTAAATATATTTTTGTTTGATATTGACAGCTATTTGGGGATATATTACATGTTGAAATTTGTATTTTTTGGACCAGTTTTCAAGTTTTATTACATTTTTGTTCCTGAAATCCACCCTTCTGCTGGGACCAGAATAATCCCATTTTTGGATCAAAAGTATCCCAGTCTTACTAAAACGTTTTGAACAACACAAACTGAGAATTTAATCCAGATCAAAAGCAAGATTGGATTTTGTGAATTCAGAATCCTTTTTTCTTTCGAAAAACCCATTTTCAAGATTTGATCCATTAATGGCTAAAATCTGATCAACTGGCCCCTGGAGCCTCTGCAGCGTTGTGGAAATTTCCCCCAGCATTTCAGGTGGCAAGAAATACCCTGGATCGATCTCTACTGTTTCATAAATAAAAATCTTTAATGTCTCATACATTCTTTCTTTATGAATTTAACATTTAAACCAGGGCCCAGTTTTTCAAAAAATGTAATCTGGATCAAATTGATCCGGATTTGGAAATCCCATGTTTTGCGATCCAGGATCACCTGATCCAGTTTACTTTTATGCCAGTTTTTTAAAGGAACATTGGATTGGATCACTGTGATCCAAATACCAAATTTCAGGATTACCAAATCCTGTTTACCAGAGCCTTAAATGGAACCAACAGTGTAGCCTACTAGGCTTAGCAAAGAACAACAGGTAGGCAAAATACCGGTGGCCACAAATAGCCATTGTTTGTTTTAATTGTAAGAAACAGAAACTCTGTAATAAACCGACACATTTTACATTCCTTATTTTGTTATAATGTTAAATAACAACAAAAACAATACTATCCAATAGTCAAAAATCATTTACAGGACAGATACCAGCTCTTTCCATCTCTGCCTTTAGGAGATGTATCTCCAGCTGCAGTTGGGCAAGCAAGATTTGTTCTTTACCCAGTTCAATTTGTACTTCTGCTCTTTCGGTTTCCCATTTCAGAAGCAACTCATAGCTGTCACCATCCTGGTTTGTAGCTGAGGAACGTTTGCGTTTTCTTGTAGGAACGTCTTGGACTGATACCAGCTCTTTCCATCTCTGCCTTTAGGAGATGTATCTCCAGCTGCAGTTGGGCAAGCAAGATTTGTTCTTTACCCAGTTCAATTTGTACTTCTGCTCTTTCGGTTTCCCTTTTCAGAAGCAACTCATAGCTGTCACCATCCTGGTTTGTAGCGGAGGAACATTTGCGTTTTCTTGTAGGAACGTCTTGGACTGTCTTCATTACATCCACTGGGGATCTATCTTCCTCCTCAATCACTGTAGTTAAGTCCAGGACAAACATTTCCTCTGCAGGAGAATTTTGCTCGCATTCTTCTGAAGTCCTAGTCTCTGTAATTGTGGCCTCTCCGTCTGCTTCTATGCCTTCAATGCCATGCAGAGCCTCTGATTTTTCTTCTCCTATGATATCAAGGACCATATCAGTGAAATCACCCCTCTTATATGGCTTGTTACCTGTTTGGGGGTTCTTGGCTTCAGTAAGGTCTTTCGTTGTCTTGGCCCTAAGGTTCTTCCATCGCAACATAACTTGTTTTATGGTCCTCTTTTGGCCAGACCCCATTGCATTGACATAATTGGTTATGTCCTCCCAAATGTTGTGTTTTCCTTTTTTGGTCGCTTCTCCACACTTTGCAGAACTGAAACCTCCTACTATTGAGGCAAAATTGGCCCGAACACCCTCCAGCAGTGCACAGGTTTCTGCCACAGTGAAATTAGGCCCTTTTGAGTCCATGGTTCCAACTCTTTGGTGTAGCCAACACTGATCTTAAAAGCCTTGAGCATGATTGCTTTGGCTTGTGCTCAATTAGGCTTACACCAATCAGCTCATTGCTGGTTAATGGGTGACACCATTTAAACACATCATGTCTTTGTACCCATTTCTCTTAGCCTACAGAGGCATCCACATGGCGGGTATTGTTCATCGGTACCGTAGGAGAAGGTACCGGCAAAGGGTGCATGCTGAGCGTGCCAAACCACTTGAGCAATACACATCAGAAGAACTGTATGCACGGTTTCGCTTTGGGAGAGATGACATTAAGTACATTGCAGATCTTGTCAGGCCAACACTCCAACACCAAACCCAAAGGAGTCATGCTTTATCCGTGGAGGAACAGTGCTTAATCGCTCTGCGCTTTTACGCATGTGGGACTTTCTACCAAGTAATTGGTGACAATATGGGAGTGAGAAAAGCAACCGTGAGTAATGTGGTGAAGGCTATGTCAGTAGCACTGGGCAGTCTGATCAATCAATTTGTTTCCTTTCCCAAGGATGACCAGACAGCTCAGACTAAGCACAAGTTTTTTCAAATGGGGAACATGCCTAGCACTATTGGTGCTATTGATTGTACTCATGTGCATATCCAAGCACCTTGTGAAAGGGAGTGGGAGTATGTCAATCGAAAGGGGAGGCACAGCATCAACATCCAACTTGTGGGCAACGCCGACCTCATAATAACCAACTGTGTTGTGAAATGGCCAGGGTCTGTTCATGATGCACATATTCTAAGAGAAAGTGCACTATACAGAGAGCTTCAATCCCACCGACCAAATGGCATAGTATTGGGAGACAGCGCGTATCCACTCCTACCATGGCTAATGACCCCTTTTCCAGTTGCAAACACACCTGAGCAGGCACGCTTCAACTCCTCACATTGCAAAACAAGATGTGCCATTGAACGCTTAAATGGAGTCCTGAAGAGACGGTTTGCGTGTCTTAACTACTTGCGAGTACAACCCAAGGTGGCATGCAACATAACCCTTGCCTGTATTGTTTTGCATAACATCGCCACCAGGCGTCATGTCCCTCTTGATGACAATTTTGATGGACCTGAGCCTGATGTAGAACCAGAACAGTATTCCAGAACAATGTTCTTGCCTAATGAAGGACACACCGGACATGCAATTAGAGATGCAATTGTGCGAAATTACTTTTAACTAGGCTACTGAATGACTGAGTATATTTGTTGTTGTCATTGCCATTAATATACTGTGGAATTATAGAGTTGTGAGCAACCGTGACATTTATTTGACAGCTGATAGCTTTGAGATTTTGTTTTTGTTGTTTACCATATCTCATTAGATGTGACATGCTTCATATATGCTTCAAATATGAAGAAATGTATATATCATCAGTAAACATTGATTTTGTGATCATTCACTTAAAAAAAAAATCTCTGATTTTATTTGGTTCGAAAAATCACAACTGAATCCACCCTTCTGATGGGATCAGGATAATCCTGTTTTTTTGGATCAAATAGATCCCAAACCGAGTTCAACGTTTTGAATAACCCAAAGGGCAGGTTTGATCCAGATCAAATGTAAAATCGGATTACATGCTCTGATCTTAGTTCGGAATCCCTCTTTTGCTTCTGAAAAACCCATTTCCAAGATTTGATCCAATCCGAGATCCGAGATCCCGCTGGATTACTTTTGAACAACTGGGCCCAGGTGATCACAAAATGTAAGAATGACATTGATTTTATGTACTTTTGTAGCATCAAAATTAAGAGCATTTTTGTTATTTTTTTTTTATACAAATTGTTCTGGTTTGATTTTATTGTTCCAAAGTTATTTGTAAATTCATCTGACTGATACATCTTCTATCTATTCATTACATCAGTCTGAAATAAGAGGTGAAGTATAAACGTTAGTACTCATGTATCACCCTTGAGTTTTAATTATTGAGCAAGTAAAGAATCAATTTAATTTTAATATCGAACTTTGTTTGGAGGTGAATGCTTGACTGTCTTGTGGTTCAATAAGCTACAAAGAGCTGTTTATATGTATATATTCAAAGCTATTTTATCATGTAAGTGTATATTAAATAAAATAGGGTGGATTAGTGTAATGTGGGACATTGACTAATGTGGGACAGTCAAATATTCTATGTTATTCAATTGATAAAATGTGCATTAAGAAAGTTAAATGCCATACATGTATTTTTTTTGTTAAATTGTTTGGGCTTATAGTGCAGTAATATTATTTGTTTTAAGATCCAGATTCAAAATTTAGAGACTAGAAGACAATGGGTTCCTGGACCACGGTGTTTCTGTTATGAAGTGTTTTTCTCATTACAATTTGCTTAACACATTATGGACATACTCCATATTCTTACTATGTGCAGAATATATACGTTTAAGAACGGCTTTAAAGACATTCCATGTTCCAAAGTTTAAATCTTTTTAAAAAGTCATTTATGAAATTATTTTGCCAATTTGACATTTTTGACTTCATTGCATGATTATTATTATTGTTGCAGCCAGTTATCTGACATTTTTGTAATAAATTCTTTGAAAAAATAGCATATGATTTCTGTCTTATAAAGTTGTATTTAACATTCCACATGTGAACATAGGCTACTAGTTTTTTTAGACAGACTGATGAAGACCGCAAACACACTGTAGGCATACTAAATTAATTAACCAAACATGGTTATGCACATTTAACCAGGGGTGTTTCTAAATATTAAACTATTTCTAACCCAAAACATAGTGTCCCAGATTTTAGCATGAGCTGTCCCACATTAGAAAATCCACAAATTCTTTTGGCACAAGGAGCACTAATATATGTGCCATTTCCCCTTTAAAGGGGTCATATGACGTTGCTAAAAGAACATTATTTTGGTGTAATGAAATGTGTTTATGCGGTTTAAGGTTAAAAAAAACACATCATTTTCCACATACTGTACATTATTGTTTCTCCTCTATGCCCCGCCTTTCTGAAACGCGTCAATTTTTACAAAAGCTCATCGGTCTGAAAAGCGAGGTGTGCTCTGATTGGCCAGCTAGAAGAGCTTGTAATACTCCAAAGAGAAAGGAAAAATTGAAATAGCATCATATCACCCCTTTAAGTGCAATATCTGAAAAATTTCTTCTGGTTTAGATGGGGAACATCTTTGGGGATTTCATAATGATAAAATATTTAGATTTATTGTTTTGGCTTCATGTGGAAATATGAGACACAATTGCAAAAAGTGTCCCACATTCTCCTAATCCACCCTACTGTCTAAACATGCTGTCCTCCAGGGCCCATGATGTCGGGGTCGCAGCTGTGGGCGGTGGATGTGTACGGGCGGGGGTTCAGTCTGTGGGCCGCTGGAGGCCGCTGGAGGCGCGCCGCGGATCTCCTGCTGGAGCTGAAGCGGGTGACGGGCTCTCTACACTGCTGCTGGGGCATCGGCTGCGACCATCAGGTTTATCTCCATGTGTATCCCAGTCAAGTGCCTATACGCCATCAGGAAGAGACCTATGAAAATCAGGTGTGTTGGAACATTTCATCTTAGGCAAACCTTCAATTAATTTGTGATTTATTAGCATGATAAAATACAGTACCTCTGTTTTGGCAAAGTATGCACAATAGTAAAAGCATTTATAAAGTAAAACTATAATATGTAAAACGCAAATGAAATAAACTGTTAATATTCACAAATAAAGTCAAATTACAAAAGCGCACAATCAAATCAAATAGCAAAGTAGAGTAAACTAGTACAGAAACAAATGAAAACAATGCATATTTATATATAAATTGTGAAATATATGTACTGTATATATTAGCCAAAAGCTTGGAATAATTAAGATGCTTTAATGTTTTTGAAAGAAATCTCTTATGCTTACTTATGCTTCATTAATTTATTCAGAAATACAGTAAAAACAGTTACTTTGTGAAATATTAAAAAAAAAACTATTTTCCATTTTAATATCTGTGATAAAGATTGTAATTTATTCCTGTGATGCAAAGCTGAATTTTCAGCATCATTACTCTAGTCTTCAGTGTCACGTGATCCTTCAGAAATCATTCTAATAAGCTGATTTACTGCTCAAGAAACATTTTTATCATTATCAGTGTTGAAAACAGTTGTGCTGCTTAATATACATATATATTTTTATTTTTTTGGAAACCGTGATACATTTTTTCAGAATTCTTTGTTAAATAGAAAGTTAAAAAGAACAGCATTTATTTGAAATAGATTTATTATTAATTATTATTTACAGTCTGTTTTGATCAATTTAATGCATCCTTGCTGAATAATAGTAATAATATATTTTTTTTTATCATACTTACCCTATGCTTTTAAATGGTATATATATTACAGTATATATAATTCTATATTAAATTATTCCAAAATGTAGGCTAAATCCAAATACACCAGAAGTAGGATAGCAATAATGACCATAAGAATCGTATGTATGATTGTATGTCTGTTTTACAGAGATGGAACCCAGTTGATGGTTACACAGACACACTCCTCCCGACAGACCGCTGGCAGTGGACGGATGAGTCGGGCTTGAACCCACAACCTCTTCACAGCTTTGTGTTGCCGTCTGCTAACTGGGAGTGGGAGGGTGACTGGTACGTGGATGATGAAAGCTGTGGGAGAGAATCCAGTGAGACAGGGGTGAGTGACACAATCTCAGACCTCTCTAAACACAAGCCATCCTAAACTTAACCTAAGGATTCGCCCCACAAACTCAGCCTACTCTAAACTCAACCCATCCAAACCTGACCTATTGTAAACCTAATCCATAAACCCAACACATTCCTTATCCTACCCTTGGGAAAAAGAAGTGTGCTTAATTGTTTTGGATATGCACTTGTAGTGTACTTCAAATCTTAGAAGTGTATCTAAAATAATAAATACAGTTGAGGTCAAAAGTTTACATCCCCCTTTCAGAATCTGCTTAATGTTAATTATTTATTTTGTAAATAATACTTACTTATTTTGGTAAAAATAATTAACATTTTGCAGATTCTGAAATCTGATGTAAACTTTTGACCTCAACTGTATTATAATATATTAATGAAATAAAAGGCCACTTAAAGTCACTAAAAGAGACACGCGTAAGTATATGTTTAAAAAGTACACTGTAATAATGTCAAATTAAAAGTTTTAGTTTAAAGTACATTTTAAATCATGTTTTAATCATTTGTTGTCCTGCTTTAAAGAAGTACACTTATTTTAACATACTAAAGCACATGTAAAGTACTTGATTATTCTTTACCTGTAGTCTTATTTGATAATACATTTAAAGTTAATATACTTAAATTTACCAAAAAATGTATTTAAATACATGACATTACAAGTTACGATACAAGTTACATTATATAAGTATATTTTAGTTTATCATAAATGACTGACAGTACATTCAGCAGTACACTAACCATATTTCAAAGACAATGGGAGTAATTATGAACTTGCATATAAAGATGTACCCAAGTCCTACTTAATTGGGTCAAAAAAGCACTCTATAGTTGAACTAATTGGATTTCAGATAAATTTAAACAATGAAACGTTAAGTGTCTAAAAACATCACATTCAGTTCACACTTAAGTATATTCCTTTGAAGTACGTCATTCCATTACACTCACAAATAATGATTCATAAAAAGTCATAAAACAAAAATGTGAAATCATGTCAGAATGACTGTGTAATGCTGTTTCCTGTGCTTTCAGGGGTGGGAGTATGCAGTGGACTTCCCTGCCACCTTCACCAAAGAGAAGAAGTGGAACTCATGTGTCCGTCGCAGGCGATGGCTTCGCTACAGGAGATATAAAGCACTGGGATCCTGGGCCAAGGTATACAACTTGCATTCCCATTTAATATGGAAATCCAAACGTTGTTGTTGTTTCAGTGTGAAACAACCAAAGATCAACCAGTGTAATGTTTCACCTATTAGCTGTTGTCCACATATGTGTCTTTCTGATTATGTGTGTTTTTGGTGCAGGTGCCTCTGGACAGAGCCAGACCTCCACCAGAGCCCTTCACTGACATCAGCTGTGGAGGCTGGGACATGAATGACCTGAGTCCTGAGAAACACATTTATCTGTGGGCCGTGTCCCAGCAAGGGAAGGTAAGTCATTACATATGCAGCCAGTGCAAAGCAATATTCCTGCTATTAAACAAGCTTTGGAAATTATTATGTCCCATGTTTTCGATTACCACAGAATATAATTGACGTAAATATGCTACATACATACTGATCAGGTCAGTGAGGACAGAAAGATTTTTTTTGAACGAAATTAGAACTTTTATTTAGCAAGGACACATTAAATTGATCGAAAGTGACAGTAAAGACATTTATGATATTACAAAAGATTTCTATTTAAAATGAATGCTGTTCTTTTGAACTTTAATCAAAGTGTCCTGAAAAATCATGTTTCCACAAAAATATAAACTGTTTCTTGAGCAGTAAATTAGTATATTAGAATGATTTCGGAAGGATCATGTGACACTGAAGACTGGAGTAATGATGCTGAAAATTCAGTTTTGCATCAAATTACAATAAATTACATTTGAAAATATATTCAAATAGAAAAAGGTATTTATTTACAACGTGTATTTTATGTCATAATGTATTTTTGATCAAATAAATCCAGCTTTGGTGAACATAAAAGACTTCTTTCATGAACATTAAAAAATCTTCCCGACTTCAAACTTTTGAACAGTAGCGTATATGAATAAACAAAACATATATCAGTAACAAAAGACAAATCAAAATAATTTTCTGTGGTAAATGACTGAATTTCACAGCTTAAGCTCTATTTAACTAGTCATTTAACCAGTAAGCAGGTTAAGGTAGTGATGCAGTTGTGGTTGCATTACAAGTTTCTGACCATTAGAGGTCACTGCTGCTCTGTTCTTTATTACTATTTTGAATTGGTTATTTTTATATTTTCAGTTTTCATTTTAATTTTAGTCATTTCGTTATATGCTTCTGTCATTTGTATGACTTTTATTTCTATTTTGCTTTAATTTATATCTATTTCAGTTTTAGTCATTTTAGTACTCTTAAATTTGATTTCAATTAACTGCTAATGCGGTTGCCTTCTAATTCTCATTTAAGTTTATGTTTGTCATCTAATATTTATGGCATTTTATCTCAGCTTTATTCAATGAACAAAAAGGATTTTTTAAATGGTCTTAGTTTTAAGGAACAGCACCGACTTGCAGTTGCATTACAGATTTGTGACCACTAGAGCTCACTGCTGTTCTGTGATGTCTGCTTTATATTTTGAGCTCAGCCAACACCTCTTTATGGATTAACCACTTGCTCACAAGAATGTGGACAATTTCCCAGCCGAGTGGTTAATTTAAACACTCGCTGAATGTTTTGTCATTTTTATCACGTGTTAAGAAACTCTTCAAGACACCACACAGATCTGAGGTGTGTGTGTGTGTATCTCTACACAGCTGTGGTTCCGCACAGGCATCAGACAGCAGAACCCGGAGGGGACGCGCTGGGAACCCATCCAGGTGCCCCGAGAGGTGGCGCAGGTCAGCGCCGGGCCGAAAGACCTGCTATGGCTCGTTCTCTGGGATGGACAACTGCTGGCCAGAACGGGCATCAGTAAAGACTGCCCTAAAGGTCTGACACTGACAGATTTATTCCTGTCCTTTGAATTCACACATATAGTATGCACGTCATACAGTACATGTTTTGAATGACTTACACATCGCTGCTATTTATGGTGAAACTGTGATCACGGTCACGGTCATGTCAATAGCATGACAGAGGTATGAACATACAGAGGTCCTAAAGAACATGTGGTCACTTGCGCCACATCTAAACATTTCTGAATGTCATTGCATTAAATTACATGAAGTCAATACAAATGCTGCAGGAGGTTGCTGCTGTCATTTTTGCTCAACATCTTTGAGTCAGCAGGTGTTTTTGTGATTTTTAGTGCATGTATGAAGTCAGTTCTGCTCAAGTGTCTTAACAGGACACTTTCAGTACAAGTTTCAGTAGAAATGACATAAAAGTATATGGTAACACTTTAGATTGGGGAACACACATTCACTATTAACTAGGACTTTTTCCTTCAATAAACTAATTTGCTGCTTATTAATAGTAAATAAGGTAGTTGTAGTAGTATGTTTAGGTATGGTGTAGGGTTAAGGCATCTAAAATATGGTCAAGCAGAATAAGGCATTAATATGTGCTTTAGAAGTACTAATAAACAGTCAATATGTGAGTAATATGCATGCTAATAAGCAACTAGATAATCATGAATAGTGTTTCCTAATCAAATTTTATTTCACCATAACATTTACATTCAGTTCACACTTAAGTATATTCTTTAAAAGTACATTATTTTTGTTTTCAGGCTCATCGTGGGAGCTAGTGCAGCCTCCAAATCAGAAAGGAGCTGTTCATGTCGCAGTGGGAATCACTGTCGTTTGGGCCGTTACTAAAGACAACAAAGTAAGATGGTATTTATTTACTCTATAAAAAGTTATTTTCCTACCATCAAAGTAATTTGAAAGCAACTTTATCTTCCAATTTCATCAAGTACCTAAAGAAGGGCCACTGTCCTGCTAAGTTCAGCTCCAGCCCTAATTGAACACACCTGATCCAGCTAATCAAGCTCCTCAGAATCACTTCCAGGCAAGTGTGTTGGAGCGGGTTGGAGCTACACTCTGTAGGACACTGGCGCTCCATGAGCAGGATTGGACACCCCTGATCTAGCATGCTGAATGAATTGAAAGTAATATTAATAGTAAAAATTATTCAGATGATAACTCGTGCCTTGTGTGTCAGTGTAGCATGCTACTGAAATATTTGTTGTTTCATAATGAGTTTCATATACACTTAAAAAAAAAACTAAAAGTACACAGTGTATAAGAAAATGCAGTAAACGCAGTGTGCAATGTGTAAATGCAATGTGTTTGTGTGTGTGATAGGTCTGGTTCAGGAGGGGTGTGAATTCCCACAATCCCACTGGCTCAGGCTGGATCAGTATTGGTGGAGAGATGGTGATGCTTAGCATGGGGCCCAATGACCAGGTGAGATCAGTGAGGTATCATGTTATACTGCCGTTCTAACAATACAAACATACACACACTCACTTTACAACAGTGTACAGCCAGATGGTCCAGAGGCAACTAGGGGGCTTGAGTGAAATTTCAAAGGGGCGACAAGATGAATTCAAATCTTGAAGTAATTACATTATAGTAATATTAAAATGACATTAAAGTAATTACATTAAAGTACATGAAAGTAATATAACTTAATTAAAATGCTGACATCATGTAGGAGAGGGCCTTAGAATTTTGTCTTTGACATCCACTGCCAAATTTGATATTCTGGTCTCTAAGATACTTAAAAGTAGGTCCATAGGATTTTTCAATGGTTTTATTGTCCACCAGGTGAAAATCATAAGTCATATCACCGCATGATTTGTGGTATCATTCATGTCTGTAGAGCAAAAAGTGCAGGTTGAGTTACATAGGGTTCTGGGTTTTTCAAATCATTTACCATAAGTACGAGCAATAATAGTGATCTTTGCCTTAGCAAACTCCACTAACAAGTGATGTATCAATCTGGATAAGTTCAGTGCACTCACACCATGCTTTAATCACTGTTGCCGATATCATATTTCATCTGGTGAAATAATCATTTTCTCCTGTGTGGACAACTCTAGTGGTCCCAGTACTTGTCCTTGTGGGACACAGGTAGGGTGGGGGCCAGACAGGTCTAATTACACTCCTGTTCTCACATGTAGCTTTGAGGATTAACCATCATTAGATCCTCAGACCAATATGTGCTCCCTGCACGGCAGGCCGACTGTATTCACTGTCCTTGTTTATGCGCACAAACACCCATCGTCCAATCACCTTCTTCAGCTCACACTGGCCCCTCCCTCCTGCCGGGACGGGCATGTGTGGTCTGGCAGAGTCAGGTGTCCGTGGGTGTTGATTACTAGAGCCGCTGAGTCTCAATGTGGAGTTTGCAAGCGATGCAAACTTTGTCTCTGCATCTCTCTCTCTCTGTAACTGGATCCTTAGACCACCTGGCTCTTCTTGTTGCCCACTGCCTCCTCCATCTCAGCCCAGCCATATATATACACCTCTAATTCCTGCACACAGCCATATGGGAGCATCTAATTTGAGTTTGGCCGCTCTCCACTATTCCATACTTCACATTTCATTACTAACCGCGCGGACCGTGTATCTATGTGTTCAGCTCAGCTGCGACGCTCATATTTGATCCTGTTCCTCAATTTGGCTTAATCAGAAACAATATCCTGTCTATGAGAACTATGTCAGCACATAAAAAGAAGATCGTCTCATAACATGATGATTTTCTGACGCCAGCTTCATTATGATGCAGTTGATATGGGGGATTTTATTGTAATTTATTATTGTATGGCTGTCTAGTGCTTGATTGTGATATATAACAGGTCAATCAAGCATTCTGCGGTCATATATTTCTGTGTAATGACCAGAAGTTTAACACCCATTCAAACTTCAGTCAGAACTTCAAATGTTTATACATTAACATTCAAAAGTTTGGCATCTGTAAGATTCCTTAATGTTTTTAAGGATGTCTCATATGCTCACCAAGACTACATTTATTTGATCAAAAATACAGTTAAAAGCAGTAATATTGTGAAATATTATTACAATATATATATTTTTATATTTTAAAATGTAACATGAAGTTAGTAAAATAAAGGCTGCAAAACACCAGAAGGTCATTAGTTAGTGATGTTTGTATTTTTATTTTGTTTTTAATATACAGAAGATGCATTTAGAAAATACTTGAACTAGGGTAAGTTTGTCCCATTAGGCTGTGTTATCTATTTTGACCCATATGTTTTGATATCTCAGCTTGAAGACGCTATGTAAGAACTGAGAGACTGTGGCTGGTGTGATATAAAATATCAGTTTATTTTATGTGTGTTTGTTTGTGACACAGGTATGGGGGGTTGGCAGCGATGACCGGACTGTGTATTTTCGTCATGGCGTGACAGCCACAGAGGTCACTGGCAGGTCATGGGTGGCAGTGTCAGCTCAGCTTGATGGCAGTGAAAGCACAAATCATTCCAGGTAGTTGAAAAACACTGTACAGAACAGTAATTCCCGACCAGGCATAGGTTCCAGAGAGTATTTGGAAAGATTTTGATTTGTTACACAGAGTTTATGAATTTAAAGTAGAAATATTAGAGCACATTCAGTTTTACACTCTTCTTTTTTTAACCCTATAAAGCCTAGTACATCATATTTGATACATGCATCTAAGGCCTCTAAATTATCAACATGATCAAAACCTTGCTAAAAAAAAGCCTGCTGTACACAATCTACTACATGCCTTCTGTCTGATTGATAGTCCATACATTTTTAGCAAATAAAAGGTCTTTTAGTGTAATTGTAAAAACGTCCAACTTGAGGTCATGATACACGTGTCTTTTTGTCTCAAATTGTCTTTAATGATTTTAATGAAGTAAACATAAGAATAACCTGTAACGTAGTTTGTAGTCACGGGAAGAAGGAGGCGGGAACCGGCGAACATTTAAACAAACTTTAATAAAATAAACAAACACAAAATAGCGCGACAGCCCCTCGCGGACGACTGTCGCGCACAAACAAAACCAAAACACAAAATAAACTCCAGGCCTGGTCCTCTCTCGTCTTTCACTGTCGTCCCTCCTCCTTTTTATCCTTCCGGAGCTCCTCCGTGAGACTCGAGACCGGTGAGTGGCGCAGGTGTCGCGCATTAGCAATTACTCCACCGGCCTCGCTCCGTTCCCACGGCTCTCGGCCCCGCCCCTCTCGTCACATAACCTTTATATTGTTATTCATATTTCAAGAAGACAATTTACTGGACTGAAGCAACTTAGCTTTACTTTATCCGTACATCATTTTTCAGGAAAATAATCTTAAAATGTATCAAATACAATACATAAGGCTTTTGAGGAACAGTTATTTGTTCATCTGTCAGTCATCATTGTATAGTATAGCATTTTATATTATATTTGAAATATTAGCAACTGCACCAAATTGCATATTTTGGCCCAGTTTGTGCCTCTTAATAAAACTAAGGTGATTTTTCCTTCTCGAGTCTGAGCTCCATATTCTTACTATTGTCATATTATATGAGGCATAAAAGCCTAAAGTTTCAAAAATGATACCCAATTAAAAAAACACATATGCAAAGGGTTTTTTGTTGTTGTTGTTTGTTGTAGATTTTCTTTTATATTTTCAATAAACTGTTACATTAAAAAAATTGAAAACTGTTATATATAGGATTTTATATGCATATATATACTGTACACACACACATACATATACACACACACACACACACATATATATATATATATATATACTACAAAGAATATTAAAAAAATTTAATTCAAAATAGAACAAATCTGATAAATTACACTTGAAATATTGTTTAAAAATAATTGTTATTGATTTACCTCTGAAATTTTTTTAATAAAATGGCAAAAAAAATTATATTTACAATCTAGATGTAAGCAAAATCTTAATAGGTCAATATAACCCTTCTAATTAAATTATTATTACTGTGTTTAGGTAGTGACAAATTTGGGGAGAGGACAAATATTCCAAAACTTTCTGAAAATACAAAATTATATAATAAATAAAAAGAAAACAGATAGAATAAAGCAAGCTAGTGTTAGAGGCCTTTTTAAATTGTATAATAAATAAAAAGAAAACAAATAGATAGAATACAAAAAATGTGTTTTTAGAGTTGGGCAGGTCATTCCACCAGGAGAGAACAGTTAATGTAAAAGTCTGTGAAAGTGATTTTGTGCCTCTTTGGGATGGCACAGTAAAGTGACGTTCACTTGCAGAACGCAAGCTTCTAGAGGGCACACAAGTCTTAAGTAATGCATTTAGGTAAAGGGGTGCAGAGCCAGTGGTGGTTTTGTAGGCAAACATTAATGCCTTGAATTTTATGCGAGCAGCTATTGGTAGCCAGTGCAAATTGATGAACAGAGGTGTGCAGTTGGCGCCTTGCCTGTCAGTGTTGTGAATGGCTCTGTGTCTGTGTGTTTCCCAGTGTCCGTGTTCACAGTGATGCCAGTGTCTTCGCTGGTGAGGTCACCGCTCCTTCCCAGGGTTCCGTTCTGGGCTGTGATGACACGGACATTCCAAAGCCACGTGTCCCCAAGATCACGAGTGACAGCTTTATCTCTGCGCTGGTGTCTGATCGCTCCGCTCCAGCACACGACCCGCCCTCTGCGGCTCACCCCAGTGTACCTGAGGACAACCAGGTGACGAGCCAAGAGTCCAATTCCTCTATCCTGAGCCCCAGCAGCCCGTCCGATGGTAGCGAGACACCATGGAGCAATGTTGACCTGGAGGAGATGAAGGGCTCGGTTCCCAGCAGCACTCGGAGCTCAGTGGCCACGTACCCCATTGAGCTGCAGCACAACACGGTAGTGCAGGAGGAACTGCCGCCCTGGGCCTGGGTCACCGGTGGAGGATGTGACATCAGTTCCAGCTCACATGTCGACTTGTTTAACATCTCAGGTGCAACACAGTTAAAGCGATCATCACTTACTCACCCTCAACCTCAAGCTCATGTTGTTCTTTCTATCACTGAAGGAACTTACTTGAAGCCTTTATGTGTAATGTATTATAAAAGGCATTCTTAATGTACCTTTTAATCTTTTCATAAATAATTGTAATCAAAGTTAAAATGCATTATAATATTTGCAGATTCCTTGTTACAGTACATCTGTAATTGGTTGTTGTCATGTGCTGCATTATACTTTCTAAAGGTTTAACAATGAATAGACAAGTATTATAACTGATTTCAGTTATTCATGAGAGTATATAATACATTATAAGGTGCATTGCAAAGCAAAATGAATACTTTTATAATTGAATTATATATATAGGCTTCAAGTAAAGTGATAAAAGAACATTTTATAAATTATAAAGAATTATAAATTTATTAACTCATGCACTATATTCAATTTTACAGTGGTATAAGCTCAAGAATAATGCATCAAAACTTGTTATACTGGGCTTGATGTTGATGATGCCTTACAGCTAAACGCATGTCCCATTTTAATACAAATATTGACTATAATTTTTTATAAATATAGAAATAGATTTATAAGATACAGCAGATGGGAATATTTTTAACTTTTGATTTTAATGACTTAATTATATTCATAATGTTTTGGGGGTGAATGAAATAGCAAAATAATAATATCCTTAACTAGCAAAAATCATCATAATTCACAACATTTTTACAGTCAATATTGTTAAAATTATTTAAAATCTGTAGAAAAAAATATTGTCTGTGTTTTTTATGTTCTGTGAGTTGAATTATTGAGCTTGAGAAGGGCAGTGTACACTACTGTTCAAAAGTTTTGGGTCAGTAAAAAAGGTATTTATTTATTTTCATTTTTGAAAGAAATGAATACTTATATTCAGCAAGGATACATTAAATTGTTCAAAAGTCAGTAAAGATTTATAAATACTTATAATACATAAGATTTCTATTTCAAATAAATTCTAAGTTCTTTTGAACTTTCTATTCAGCAAATAATTCCACTAAAATATGAAGCAGCACAAATTTTTCAACACTGTGATAATTAAGAAATGTTTCTTGAGCAGCAAATCAGCATATGAAAATGATTTCTGAAACATCATGTGACACTGAAGACTGAAAATACAGCTTTGCATCAATAAATAATAACTAACTGGTTAGTATATAATAATAACCAATAAACTATATAATAATAACTAATAAAAAGAATAAATAACTAATAAATTAAAAAATATATTCAATTAAATAACATGTATTTTAAATTGTAATAATATTTCACAATGTTAGTGTTCTTATTGTGTGTGTGTGTGTGTGTGTGTGTGTTTTGGACTGAATAAGTGCAGCTTTGTTGAGCGTAAAATTCTTCTTATAAAAACTTTTTTTAAATAGTTGTGTAAGATGTTACTCCTTCAGTTATGTCAGAAAAATAATGAAAAAATTGGACAGGGAGGTTGGTGTGTAAAACAAATTCTCCCTTTTCTGTATGCCATTTTATAGAAACTATTCTCTTTCTCTCTGATTCTGTCAGATCCCGGGCCGCTCTCTCCATCCATCACACCTGCCCTCAGTGCTCTAGACACAGACACTCGGACAAGAGGAGCCCAGCAAGAGAGAGACGTCTCTATAGAGAAGGTAAATGCACTGTGAGCAGGCCTTTGTGCATCACACGAGAGGAAGAGTCAATGGGACATCTCAAACACTGATGTATATGTGTGTGTGTGTGTGTGTGTCTCAGTCTGTGCATGTGACGAGAGGTTGTATGTGTTGGTGGAGGGACTGGATGCCTCATCAGTGGGAGGATGTCAGTGTGACGCTGGAGCAGGTCACCGGTGCTGGAGCTCAGACAGGAGACATCCTTTACCTCTACTACACTCACGACCAGCAGAAGAAGGTGCGTCTGTGAAAAATGATTGTACTTTAGCATAATAGCACAAAGATTACTTATTGTGGAAATAATATAATTGAAAGAATATACTGAAGTGCAAACTGAATACAGTTTTTTAATATGAAACGGTATTATAGTTTAAGTTGCAATTGAATACATTTTAAAAATATCAACTTTAAATGTAATATCAAATAACACACTACAGTAAAATTATAATCAAGTACCTAAATGTGCTTTAGTATGTTAGCCAACACATCAAAATAAGTGTACTTCTTTAAAGCATGAAGCATTTAAAATGTACTTTAAATGAAAACTTTTCATTAAGTTTTAAATTAAAAAAATCACACACGCCACTCAAACTTACTAGATCACTGAATACTGTATCTACAGTAAGTCTACAAAAAAGAATCAAAACCAAATCATGAAATCCAGCAAAACATTTTTTTACAAAATATTATGGACTGTAAACAAAAGAAACACAATCTTAAGTGAAAAAGAAGGAAAAAATGACAAAAACAACATATCGATCCACAAAAAAAAAATCAGCATTTGTGCTGTAACCATCATTATACACCGCATTTCTTATCAGTAATAAAACATTCATCATAAATATCTATTTTTGGCATCACTTAACACATTATTACTTTTTGTAAAGTGTAAAAGTGTGAGAAACAGTCATGAAAGTGTCTCTCTTATAGTGCACTGAAGTGGCCTTTTATTTCATTGATATTATATTATCTACAATAAGATTTTTTTTTAAATACACTTTTAAGATTTGGAGTACACTACAAGTGCATATTCAATACAATTAAGCAACACAACAGTGTATCAGTATAACAATATATCAACAGGCACAAGTTGACTACATTTTTTAAAGTTTAGGAATAAAAAAGTTTGTGAAACCATTAATTGAATGCCTTTACAAATGAATGAATTAAGATCAAAATGTGTTGTTGAAGTAAAGTGTTCTCAGACTGTATTAGTGTAAATAACTCCATGATTCTTCTGATGTGTGTGTCAGTATCTGTATGCTGTGATAAAGGAGGTGACGGCCCTGGTGCCCGTGTTCAGGGACTCTCTGTACACTATGGCTGTTTACACGCCAGAGAGAACCAAACAGAGACGCCCAATTTTACTGGCAACTCCCTCTCAACAAGACTTCAACACCTGGGTAAAATGCACTTGTGAACAGCACATCTGTTTAAAAGGATCTCTATGTGACATAAAGCACACACGTGATGAACTGTGAACTGTATCCATACATCTTACCAGTCGTGATCCCGTATTTGCATAATGTTCATTAAAAATGTATAAATTCCTCTCATGAAAAACACATTTCTGCACAAAATCAAGGAAAAAAATTAGTGCTGTCAAACGATTAATCGCGATTAATCGCATCCGAAATAAAAGTTTTTGTTTACATAATATATGTGTGTGTACTGGGTATATTTATTATGTATATATAAATAGCATGTGTACTGTGTATATTTATTATGTATATATATATATACACACACACAGAGTATATATTTTTTAAATACTTACATGTATATACATTTATATATTTATATTCTTATATTTTATATTATACATAAATATATTTAATATATAAACAAAATGTATTTCTTAAATATATACATGCATGTGTTTGTATTTATATATACATTATAAATATACAGAGTACACACACATTTATTATGTAAATAAAAACTTTTATTTTGGATGCAATTAATCGCGATTAATCGTTTGACAGCATTAAGTGTAAATACATGTAAATATTTTCAAAATATATGCTGTATGTGTGTGTTTTTTTATATACATAATAAATATACACAATACACACACATATATTATGTAAACAAAAACTGGTATTTTGGATGCGATTAATCGCGATTAATCATTTGACAGCACTAAAAAAAGATATATATTTGCATATAGGAAACAAAGATTTATTGCATTGTGATTTTGTTTACCCCCAAAACACATTTTACCCCAACATTTTCATGATCGTCAATCTTATTGACGAGTTTAGGGTGTGTTTTTGATTGCACTGCAGAATGAGAGTGAGATTTTGAGAGTGACGAGTGCTTTCTGTTTGTGTGTGACCGTTGCAGCTGTCTCTGTTGAACGAGTCGTGTTGTGCGTCCAGGGGTCTTGGAGAGCATCCATCCAAACAGGCCCTGTGGGCTGTGACGTGTAAAGGTGACGTCATGGTGCACGAGCCGTCACCCAGCCTGGAAGCCGCGGCGCAGTACTTACCCTGTGACCACATGTAAGAACGTCCCCATCTGTCTGTCTGACGGCCGTTTTCTCGCACTATAACTCTGTTCTAAACCTAGTGAGCTGCTTCACTGTCCTTCACGTGCCAAAACAAATGGTGCTCCTCAAGAAGACTTTAATCACAATTGATTTCCATAGAGTTTGGCATTAGCATGATGCTAAGCTAACAACACAATATTATAAAAGCATGAAAACCAATTTTTGATTATGCTGACTGGAATTTATAGCCTTCTGGAAGTGCAGTTTAAAAGTTGAATTTAACATATATTTCATATTATTTCGGCGAATTAATAATAATAAACATTATAGTTTTTCATTGAGGAATGAATCATTCACGTAGTTTCATTTGTAAATGAAAACACAACACGCTCATTTATCATCACACACAGGCATAAATACAATCATAAAGTACTGGCATAACTGTCAGGCGTTTACAGTATTTGCAAAATATATGGTAGCAAATATAATTATACAGAACATTAATTAGGTAAAGCAATACATGAATTGAAAGGGGAAATAATAAAATATATTTATATGAAATATAAAAATATAGCCCTAACAAGTTAATAGAATAATAATAATAATAATGTTTTTTCCATCTCTGATAATCCTGTGTTACTATGGTCATGCAGGTTTGTATACGCATTAAACTCATTGCCACGAGAAAAATATGCCGTTCCCTCAACATAAGAAGTCATGGCCACGAGAAATGAATGTCATTCCCTCAACAAAGAATCTCGAGGCCACGACATAATATCACGTTCCCACGAGTTAATATGACATGGCCTCAAGGCATCCTAGGTGTATATGACTTTCTTCTTTTAGACGAATCCAGTCAGAGTTATATTGCGTTTTTGTAATAAAAATATAGATATTCAAAACGTAATAATCACTTTAATGTAGCTTGCGCCAACAGTTGTACACGGAAGCAGCTCCGGGCAGGATGACGTATGAGTTCAGCCTTGCGCATGTGCCGGTGAGTCTCGTGAAAATCAACGTTTGTTAACAGGAGCAAAGGAAGCAAAAAATCCTTACTTTAGCAAAGGAAAACCAATCTCCTCTTGGCTTATATCGAAATCCTCCGACATTCTTCTTTACAAATCCTCGTTTTGTACTTCTAATAAGTGACCGTTGTTTGTTTTGATCTCTCCGCTGCGCTTTCGCGTTCGTCACTTCTGAGCGGCGCATGCACAACGCTGACCTCTTACGTCATCCGCCCAGAACTGCTTCCGTGTACAACTGTTGGCGCAAGCTACATTAAAGTGATTATTACGTTTTGAATATCGATATTTTTATTACAAAACCGCATCGATTCACTACAGGAGGCCTTTGTTCACCCCCCGGAGCCGTGTGAGACACTTTTTTTTATGGATGGGCTTTTTATTTCACTTATTTTGCACTGCAACACCCGCTGAGTGGCATTAAACAGCTTGAAAGATCAAAGACAAATTTTAATATAACTCCGACTGGATTCGTCTGAAAGAAGAAAGTCATATACACCTAGGATGCCTTGAGGGTGAGTAATTTATGGGCTAATTTTAATTTTTGGGTAAACTAACGCTTTAAGTGAACCAAACAAGTCCCCTCATGGTCACCGTAGAAAACGTAAGAAAAGTACATAGAAAAGTAAGTTGCGCTACTTATTTGAAAAAGTGACTCAGATATTTTCTTATAAATTTAAAAGTAATGCATCACTTTATTAGTTATTTGAAAAAAGTAATCTCAAAAATTTAACTCGCGTTAATGCGTTACCTCCAACACTGATTAGCAATTACTTTGAAACCAGCCAAGGTACTTTTTGAATAGAGAGTTAGTTATACTGCAGGTTACTAAGAAAAGGTCACTAATCAGTTGAAATGATTTACAGTATAATTCATAACTTAATCAGAGCCATATATCTCTTGATTTGAGGACTTTTAAATGAATTAATATTGATTAGGGTGACAACGTTAAACTTATATACAATTACGCTAAATACATCTAAAAAGAGAATATAACTAGTCGAAAACAGTGGTGAACAGAAGCATTTAACTACATTAAATATAGTACAAATATTCTGTTAATAAAATACATAACATGTTGCACAGGTGTTTCTGTGTAGAGACTTGAATCAGTGCATTGTTTCTTTTTAAATTCTTTAATTTACATGAATAAATCAGACCAATTCTACATATGACTAAAAGGAAATTGTATCTCATTTTTTACTGTAAAACAGTGTGTGCTGTACAGTATGGCAATAAAAACTGCTATGTACATGTAGCATTTTATCGAACTAAATGTAGCATTTTATCAAACTCTGCGAAAACTTAAGTTCGACTATATTTTCCAAGTATACTTTATTAGTAAGTATAATAATATCAGTGCACTAGTAGTATACATGTAAGTGTACTTCTTAGGACTAAATTGGCCCACTTTCCGTTTATAAAGGTATAATTTTAAATGTTTTGTATTGCAGCTGTATTTGTACAGCAGCTTATAGATATGCTGTTAGTTTAGTAGCTATATACTTCTAGCCCATGTTTATGAAAGTACACTTGAGAGTTTACTCTCAGTAAAACAACTAATATGTAAAATAAAATGTTTAATATGTTTTATACTGCAAGTACACTTGTAAGGTTACTATCTTAAGTTTTCTTTTTGCACTTTGCCACTTGGTTTCTATTTAGATATTAATTTTTATACTTGTAATATCCCTTTAACTGTACTTTAAGTAGAATTTGAAGTTAACGCCTGCGTACACTACCAGTGGTTTCATGCCAATGATTTATGTATTACGTATAATGTTTTAAGTATTTACTATTCCCTCTAAGCTCTTACACTGCAAAGCTGACTTGTTACTATAAACTTGAATATGCAAGTCTATAAAATATAATGTAGAACATGAAATACTGCCTCAAAGAAGCCAAAATGTGTGTGTGGGCGGAAGTATTTAAACAGTTAGTTCACCCAAAAATTAAAATTCTGTCATTAATTACTCACCCTCGTGTTGTTCGAAACTCGTAAGACCTTCGTTCATCATCGGAACACAATTTAAGATATTTTTGATGAAATATGAGCGCTCTCTGACCCTCCCATAGACAGCAAGGTAACTACCACGTTCAAGGTCCAGAAAAGTACCAAGATGATCGACAAAGTAGTCCGTGTGACATCAGTGGTTCAACTGTAAAGTTACGAAACTACGAGAATACGTTTTTGCACAAAGAAAACAAAAATAACGAAATACTTTTTTGCGCAAAGAAAACAAAGTTTTTCACGACAGTACCATGATGGGAGCGTGTGGCGGATTACGTCATTACACCGGATCTGGGTCAGCGCCGGCGCCACCACACGCTCGCGTCATACTGTACTGGTACTGTCGTGAACGCGCGTCCAAAGTGACGCAGTAGAGACAAAAATGTGGAATAAAGTAGTTATTTTTGTTTTCTTTGCGCAAAAATGTATTCTCGTAGCTTCGTAACTTTACAGTTGAACCACTGATGTCACACGGACTACTTTGTCGATTTTTGGGTGAACTAACCCTTTAAACTTTTTAAAAATTAATAACAATGTTTCTTGAGCACGCTACTTTATCAAAAGAGTAAATAAACTTGGAATACTTAATTATACTTTTTTTAATTCAGTACAAGTATAGGCCAAATATACTTAAACCTTTCGACGTACTTGTCAGCATAAGCCAACTATATTTAAGTGTATTTTTGAATTTCTGATAGCTATATAAAAAGTTCACTGAACGTATACTCTCTTATTTTTAGTTGAAAAGAAGTGATGTTGCTTCTTTTACTTAGTTTCTCCCAAACACTCCTAATAAAGCATCTTATTTGCTGTCTGCCTTTTTGAAACACACCGAAAATAATGGTAACATCTAAAACAACTGGTTTTATAAGTGAAAAGGATTATTAACATCACTGAATCAACCTATATACAACAATTGAAACCAATAAAACTAGTTTTTATGGGTTAGAATCAGGTAGAAATAGCTCTCACAGGTGACTGCTTTTACTAGTTGCAGTCTGCATTGTAAGTGCCTAAATGCTGTCCAGACAGGCAGCTCACTAGGTTTCAGACAGAGCTAATAATTTAATCGTGCATAAAGTCTGGCTTGCATGCCACGGAACTGTCTGATGCGCTTGATTTGGTTTCCTCTGGACCGTGTGTGTGTGTGTTTGTGATTGTAATTGTGCTGGGCATGCGTCACGTGTCTGTGCTGCTGTGGGCTCAGGTTCTGGCGTCAGGTTCCTGCTCATCTGCTCTGTGTGGAGTCTAACAGTCTGGGTGTGGTGTGGGGCATCGCTCACGATCATACCGCCTGGGTCTACACGGGGGGCGGCGGGGGACCGTCTGCTCAGGGTAAACATGCACCCTGCTGTCATCCCTGTCCCTCTCACTAACCTACATCTAGATTTGACCCTGCAAGATGAACATATGCTGGTTTGGTTGCTGGTGTGCTGATGTTCCCATGAGGCTTCACCAGCAGAGCTTTCTTGGTCGAACTGCTTAACCAGAAAGACCAAGATTTGCATCATGGTCCACCAGTCAGACCAGCATCAAACCAGCATAAACCAGTCTAGACCAGTATAAGTTCTAAGCTGAACTTTGCAGCAGGATATACACTGCACCGTAAGCAGTATGCTAGTACTGTATTCAAAACAGAATACAGATCTTCCCAAACATTGGGTCTCATTCACTATAATAATTGCACGGATTACTCATATTACGCGATTACACGCAATTTGCGTAAAACGCACCCAAATCATCTCCTTTCTCCTTCATTTAAAGCCTTTCATTACTAAAATACTAAAATTTAAATAATAATATGTTATAAATTATAAATATAATAAATTATAATTATTATAATAATAATACATTTGGCAAAAAAAATAAGTTAAAGTTCTAAAATTGCTGAAACTACAATTAAAATGAAAATAACTTAAAGCTACATAGAAATATTTTAAACAATAAAATCTAATACAAATGATAATAGCACATAACAAAATTACTTAAAACTGAAAATATAAAAATAAATGCTAATTCAATATATT